ACCTTTCTTGCCATAGTTGTGAAGTGAATCACTGATGTTATTCAGTTACTCACACGGTTGCTAGGTGAATCCAGCTTCCTCCGTTGACTTTTCTGATTAGAAGGTCGCAAAAGGGGAGCACGTGAGTCCGGGACGCTGCAACTGTCATAAGTACATGTCAGTTGCCAAGCGTCTGAATTCTGATCACGTGACCGTGGGGATGCTGCAACGGTTGTAGCTTTGAACAGTCACTAAATGAACTGTTGTAAAACAAGGACCACCTGTAGACAGTAGAACTTCTGAATGTCATTGAGTTTCTGGTTTTCTAGATTGAGGATCAGTTGTCAGCAGTGACATTATAATTTATTTATTTTTCTTATTCTGCTGGTTTTAGGTACTTTATCAATGCCAGGAATATGACTAGGTGCATGGGAAACATAGAATCCCAGGGCTTGAAATAACCCTGGAGGTCTTCTAGTTCAACCCCCTGATCAAGACAGGAGATCGTATAAAGTAAATTCCCTTTATTTTCTTGCTAAACCAAACCTTCCCTAAGCTGAGAATCGCGTCCTATAAAGCTAGATTTAAATCTAAATCTAGATTTAACATTTAACATTTGAGGCAGCCCCTCAAATACTGGAATAAATTTTATATCTCGGTTCAGACTCTAATGTTGCTTTAATTTAAAACGGACAAATTCCATTTTAAAGCCTGTGCTATAAAGAGACAAATGATGAAATATTGCAGTTTAACCTAGATGTTATTACTATTTTGTTGTACTTATTTCATTTTGTAACTTGCCTGGGAGAGCTGTTGATGGTTATCGTCAGACTGTATAATTGTCAGAGGATAAAAGGAAGGAAGGAAAAAAGGGAGGGAGGGAGGGAAGGAGAGAGAGAGAGAAAGAGGTGCTGCTTTCTGCTGAGATGCAGCAAAAGCAGGAGCCCCGCCCAATAAGCTTGTCAGCTTGTCCGAGAACAGCATGAGGCCACTCTCTTTTTTACGCACACAAACACACACACACACGAACACGCACACACAGAGGGGGGAAAGTGCAAGTGCCTCTGTCTGTCTTTGTCTCTCTCTCTGCAAATGGCGGAGGAGGCTGGGAGCTGCAGGAGAAGGCTCAAAGAGCCACATGTGGCTCCGGAGCCGCAGGCTGCCGACCTGTGGTCTAGGGTATCCTGCTTGAGCAGAGGGTTGGACTAGAACAGGGGTCCCCAACCCCTGGTCCGTGGACCAGTACCGGGTTACGGCATGCCAGCAACCAGGGCGCACAAACAACCAAAGCCCCATCCATGGGATGTGTGCAGCACACAAAATCATGCATCCTCCAGGCTGCGGAAAAACCTCTCCGCAGAACCGGTCCCTGGTGCCCAAAAGGTCTGCCCTAGAAGATCTCCAAGGTCCCTTCCAATTCCGTTCTGATTGATTGATTCACATAGGCAGTTCCCAAAGAGGCTTCTCTTCCAATTCATTCTGTCTCTCTACAAACCTGCTCTGATCTGGCACCTTTGATCTTTCTGTGATTCAGCACGAACTAAATCAATACATTAAAGCAAAAAAGAAAAGTTAAGACAGCTAATATTGTTAGTGGGGGAGAAACCAATCTCTGCTCTCGTTCTCATGAAATGGATGCAAAAGCCAGTCTCCTCCCAACAGAAAAGCCAGACTCCTGTTTCCACCGAAACTCAAAAAAACCAACAGCTACACCATCAGGCAAACAAACAGCAAATATAGTAGGAATAGCTCCTGTGCTAAGATGAATGTAAACTGTCACAGAAGTTAATTAAAATTATTTTTGTCTCTTCTATTTCTTTCTTTCCTTTGCCTTCCTTTTTCCTTCTCTTTCTCCTTCCTTCTTTTCCTTCTTCCTTCCCTCTCTCTTTTTCCTTCTTCTCTCTCAACTTCCTTCCTTCTCTCTCCTCCCTCTCAACTTCCTTCCTTCCTTCCTTCCTTCCTTCCTTCCTTCCTTCCTTCCTTCCTTCCTTCCTTCCTTCCTTCCTTCCTTCCTTCCTTCCTTTCCTCCCTCCCTCCTTAAGTGAAAATAAATGAATCATAAAAGAAACTAAATAAAATTCCAAATCTTCTATTTGGATTCTCCCTGAAGTGAGTCATCCCCCTTTGTTTGTCTCACACTTTCTCAGTAATGCAAACATCCCCCCAGGGGTTTCCATTGACCAAAACTCCAGGCTTGATTGGCCAAAAGCCAGAAACAGGATTGAGCCAATCAAGAAGAGTTTCTTGCCAAAATTAGCTTCTTTTGATGACTTTTTCCTTTTGCCCTCACAAATCTTTGCAAATCATTTAGGATGAGAGAACTGGATCAAAGATGCTACATCGCTTAAATCTTTCATGCAACCCCACAAAAATTGGGAAATTTAGATTAACCAGAATAGCTACACAAGTTACTGAATATTCTGGGAAGAAGGGTATATATAGAGAAGATGCTGACCCGTCTTCTTCTGCCTTTCGAAATGGGGGGATCCTACCTCACGTCTTTGGAGTCTTGTTGGACACACAGTCCTCGAATTACATTTAGTGACCGTTCAAAGTCACAACAGCACTGATGACCGTTTTTCACACTTATGACCATTGCAGCATCCCCGTGGTCCTGTGATCAAAATTCAGACGCTTGGCAACTGACTCACATTTATGACGGTTGCAGAGTCCCGGGGTCACGTGATCCCCTTTTGTGACCTTCTGACAAAGCAAAGTCAATGGGGAAGCCGGATTCACTTAACAACCCTGTTACTAACTGAACAGATGCAATGATTCACTTAACAACTGTGGCAAGAAAAATCATAAAATGGGGCAAAATGAACTTAACAAACATTTCACTTAGCAACATAAATGTTGAGGTCAATTGCGGTCGCAACCCTTGGGCTACCTGTATTTTCCCTAGCCTTTCTCTACCTATTAAAAGATCAGACATTTCCACTCACTTTCTGGCTCCAGGTAAGCGGCCTCTAATTGCCCCAATCTTTTCTAGGTTGCAGCTCTCTTGCCTTATGGCGACAGACACCCGTTTGGGAAGCTTTTCATTGGTATTTTGTTCTTGCTTTTTAAAATTGTCATTACAGTAATGGAGCTGCTGTGCAAAGATTACTGTAAGCTTCCACGGAAGATATCCAAAATTATTTCTCTGTCATCCGTTTTGAGATCTCTCTTTCTTTTTTTCTCTGTCTTCCTTCTCTTCCTCTTTGTCTCTTTTTGCTCTCTTTGTGTTTCTTTTTCTTTCTCTCTCCTTCTCTCTTTCTTTTTCTTTCTCCATCTTTCTTTTCTATTTCTCTTTGCCTCTTTCTTTCTCTTTGCCTTTTCTCTTTTTCTTTCTCCCTGTCTTTTTTCTTTCTCTTAGTCTCTTTCTCCTTCTCTCTTTCTCTTAGTCTCTTTCTCTTTCTCCGTCTTTCTTTTTCTTTTCTTTGCCTCTTTCTTTCTTTCTTTCTCTTTCTTTCTGCCTTTTTCCTGTTTTTCTCCATCTCTTTTTCTTTCTCTCTTACTCTCTCTCTCTTTTTCTCTCCTCCTCTTTGTCAGTCTCTTTCCATTTCTGATGAGCATCAAGACCACCCTCAGCTTCCTTTCTTTGTAACTTCCCATGGATATTCTTGAGATACTAAGCCAGACAAGTTTCAAGGGAACCCAACCACTCTCTGCTGCGGTTTTGCGGGTCAGAAACCGTCCTAATCCCCTTTGAAAAAGCCTTTGGGAACCCCCAGACCCTAAACTTCCAAGACATCCCATCCCCAACAACAGCAGGAGCGATAAGTAGATCTGGGCCAGGCAGGGCGGCAGGGGGGGGGGTGTCCGTGTGCCCGCTCACCTTTCCAGAAAAACCTGGGTGTGGCTTGAAAGAGCAACAGAAACATGACCCGGCTTGTTGTCGCCCTCCCTTTCAACAATTATTTTCCAAGAGAGAAAGGTGACTCAAAAGTGCCCAGCAACTTTTTGTGTTTTAATTCCCAGCTCGTTGGTGGATTTATCAGGAACGAAACCCTGTTTTGTCCACCCACAACATCCCGCAGGAGTCAGCCCTGAAACTCCCCCTCCCTCCTCCACATGTCTACTGGGCACTCTTCTTTCAAAATCTTTATTCTCCACCCCCCCACCCCCCCTGCAAACAAGAACCAGCAAAAGAGATCCAAAGCCAGAGAGCCGGGCCGGTGAGCAGGATTTTAACGCAATCAAATAGTCTGCCATTAAAGTTTGCCAACTAAGTTGGCCCCTCTAGGCAGAGGCCAGCTTAGTAGCAGGAACCCTGGATTGGTTTAGACTGGGAATTGGGATCTATGATTTGGACACAGTCTATTTTCTGTGTACTTTTAAAGAAAAACAAAGGCCAGTGGACACAATATGATAAATCCAGGCGGAATTGATTTCAGTCTTGAAAGTTTAAGGAGCGTTTCTCAGTCTTGGCCACTCGAAGATTGAGTAGACTTCACCTTCTAGAATTCAGTTCTGGGAATTGAAGTCTACCCATCTTAGAGGGACAAGGTTGAGAAACACGGGTTTGCAGCATTGTGTGAACGCAACTGCCTTCGCTGCTTCATCTTTGGTTAAACAAGCCGTGGCTTAGCTCCAAGCCTCTCCTTTCAGAAAACAACATTAAAAACGGTAGCCAAGCAGGAAGGGGGGGGGGGAGGAAGAGGGAGAAATCTTGATCCTTTGAAAAATAGTCCCCCCCAGTCAAACAATAGCTGGTGTCGCCCCCCACCCCAAAAGAGTTCAAATCAAGGGGTGGAGGGTCTTTTGCCTGAGCAGGGAGTTGGACTAGATTTGCAACGTCCCTTCCAGCTCTACTCTGATGGATAACTGGAGGTTTTTAAGAAGAGCAGGGGGGGGAGTGTTACAGGGCGCTTAGTCACCCCAATTCTCCACCGTGGCCCCAATTTTTAGTGGGATTGTTTCCCTCCCCCCCCTCGGGGAGATCCCGAAGTGGGGGGGGGATTCCCGCAGCCCCAGGGCTTGAACTCGCGCCTTTGTTGGCTGTGCTCCCCCCCCCTGCCCAGATCGCCCCAACTCACCCCAACCTGCGAACAGGAGGCACCCCCAGAGCCAGCCGTGCGCCGCCATCGCCGCTTCTCTCGCGTTGCCCGTAGCCAGCTCGCTCCGCTGCCCAGGTGCGCAGGTGAGCGCAGGCGGGGCGCTCATTGGCTGAGCCGCCCGCCCGTCACCGCCCCCTGCCCAGGTGAGGCCCCCGCGGGAGGGAGGCAGACGAGGGGGGGGGGTGTCTCGTGCTGGAGGGGCTCTCCCTGGCTGGAGGCAGCTGCAAAGGAGCCGGGCTCAGCTGAGCGTCGCTACCCTAGTTGGATTTTGGTCCAAAGTTCCCCGGGAACGATTGGTGGATGGCGGCTTCTTTTTCTCCTTCGAAAACCTAGACTCGTAGGGCCGGGAAGGGCTCCCGGAGGTCTTCTAGTCCAACCCCCCCTGCTCAAGCAGGAGTCCTAGGAGACCGTCCCGCTCAAATTCCCGTTCAATCCTTTTCTTGAAAACCTCTAGGTTTCAATTGTTGACTCGTCGACTATCAGGGTTGGAAGGGACCTTGGAGGTCTTCTAGTCTGACCCCCTCGTTCAAGGTAGGAGACCTTATGGGATCCAGGAAAAATGACTGTCCAATCTTTTCTTAAAAACCTCCAGTGATTGGAGCACCCAGAACTCCAGGAGGAAGGCTTGTCTGTCTGTCTATTTGTCTATTTATCTCAGAGACTCATAGGGCTGAAAGGGATCTTGGAGGTTCAGGGTGGATATTAGAGGTCCTTAGACCAGGGGTTCTCAAACTTGGCCACTTTAAGACTTGTAGACTTCAACTAGCACAGTGGTTCTCAACCTTTTTAATACCATGACCCCCAACCGGTCGTAAGTCGAGTACTCAACCGGTCGTAAGTCGAGGACTACTCAACTGGTGCAGCACCGTTTGCAGAATGGGACTTTTGGAGGGCTCAGCAGGGCAGAGACAGCCTGGACAATTCCTATTGGCTTTGGAAAGCCAATAGAATTAGACTCTATTCAAGACAGTCTATTCTATTGGCTTTCAAAAGCCAATAGAATAAAAGGGAGTAGCACAGCTAAGGAAAAAGGGGGAAAAAATGGCGGACAGCCTTGTTTGGCGACCCCCGTGAAATGGTCGTTCGACCCCAAATGGGGTCCCGACCCACAGGTTGAGAACCACTGTCATAGACTCATAGGGCTGAAAGGGATCTTGGAGGTTCAGGGTGGATATTAGAGGTCCTAGACCAGGGATTCTCAAACTTGACCACTTTAAGACTTGTAGACTTCAACTAGCAGGAGACTCTATACCAGGGGTGTCAAACTGTCGGCCCGCGAGCTGGATATGTCATGCTGAAACTGTGCCCACCCCATTGCCGGCAATGGAAAAAAAGCCACGATACATCACGACACGTCACGTGACATTGTGAGTTTGACACCCCTGCTCTACACCATCCTGGTCAAATGGCTGTCCAATCTCTTCTTAAAAACATCCAGTGAGGGAGCACTTACATTTCTGGAGGCCAGTTGTTCCACTGGCTAATTGTTCTGTCAGGAAATTTCTCCTTAATTACTGGTTGCTTCTCTCTTGATTGGCTTCCATACGTTGCTTCTTGCCCTGCCTTCAGGGGCTTTGGAGAATAGGATGACCCCCTCCTCTCAAATATTGGAAAACTGCTATCATGGCACCATCAGTCCTTCTTTTCATTAAACTAGATATACCCAATTCCTGAAACTAATCTTAGTGTCTTTTAGCCTCCAGCCCCCTAATCGTCCTTGTTGCTCTTTTCTGCACATTTTTGGAGAGATTCTTTCCTCAATATTAAATTAATAATTACAAGAAATCCTTCTTTCATTGACTCACCATTGACTTGCATCACAAGGCAAATTCAGTACGGGAAGCATGAATTCTAGGTTGACCCCCTCCTCTTTGGGGCAGCCCCTCAAATATTGGAAGATACTATCACGTCGCCCCTGGTCCTTCTTGTCACTAGACTAGACCAGGGGTAGGCCACCTTGGCTCTTTTATGACTCGTGGACTTCAACTCCCAGAATTCCTGAGCCAGCCATGCTGAGGGGAAAGGGAGAGTTTTCAACCTGAGCCAGGCTGGCTCAGGAATTCTGGGAGCTGAAGTCCACCAGTCATAAAGGGGCCTAGGCCTAGGTCAGAGATAGGCAACCTTGGCTCTTTTATGACTGTTGGACTTCAACTCCCAGAATTCCTGAGCCAGCCATGCTGAGGGGAAAGGGATAGTTTCCAAGCTGAGCCATACCGACTCGGGAATTCTGGGAGTTGAAGTCCACAAGTCATGGGGGGGGGGCAAAGTTTCCCTCATGCTGGCTCAGGAATTCTGGAAGTTGAAGTCCACGAGTCATAAAAGAGCCCAGGTTACCTACTTCATGGATTAGACGTACACAATTCCTGTAAATGTTCTTCATAGGTTTTAGCCTCCAGCCCTCTAATCATCGTTGTTGCTCTTCTCTACACTCTTTTTTTAGAGTCTCAACACCTTTTTTATTCTGTGGCAACACAATACACAAGGTATGAGGAAGAGACTCAGCATAACCCAGCCTCTGGTTTGTCGAAACAGGGATGAGAGGCATCTGGCAAGCTTTCAAGGTCTTGTTATTCAACAGTCAAGAGCTCTCCGACACCCTTTCGGTGCCTGTGGCTGCACCAGCTGAGCGGAGACCGTCCAGCAGCGGGGACACACAAGGAGGGGGGACGCAATGACTGCGGTCACCCAGCACATTCTCAAGTGATCAGAGCATGAAACTGGGTCTGGAGGTGCTGTTGGTAAGGTTGGGGTTTGGAGACACATTAGGGCTCTCTCTGATGAGCAGCTTCACCCCTGAGCTGCTTAGCCTCTCGCAGGGACTTTAAAAACTTCTGTTGGTAACAATTTTATTAAAGTTTACAAAGATAAAAGACCAATACGGGTAATCCTCAATTTCACAACCATTCGTTCAGTGACCATTCAAAGTGACAATGGCACTGAAAAAAGGGTCTAGTGACCGTTTTTCACACTTACGACCGTTGCCGCGTCCCCAGAGTCACATGATCAAAATTCAGGTGCTTGGCAATTGACTCATATTTACAGTGCTAGGCTGCATTAACAGAGGGATAGAAACAAGATCATGTGAAGTATTAATACCACTCTTCAATGCCTTGGTAAGGCCACACTTGGAATACGGCATCCAGTTTTGGTCACCACGATGTAAAAAAGATGTTGAGACTCTAGAAAGAGTACAGAGAAGAGCAACAAAGATGATTACGGGACTGGAGGTTAAAACGTATAAGGAACAGTTGCTAGAATTGGGTATGTCTAGTTTAACGAAGAGAAGGACAAGGGGGGACATGATAGCAGTATTCCAATATCTCAGGGGCTGCCATAAAGAAGAGGGAATCAAGCTATTTTCCAAAGCACCTGAAGGCAGGGCAAGAAGCAACGGGTGGAAACTGATCAAGGAGAGAAGCAATCTAGAACTAAGGAGAAACTTCCTGACAGTTAGAACAATTAATCAGGGGAACAACCTGCCTCCAGAAGCGGTGAATGTGCCAACATTGGAAGTTTTTAAGAAGAAACTGGACAGTCCATTTGTCTGAAATGGTGTAGGGTTTCCTGCCTGAGCAGGGGGTTGGACTAGATGACCTCCAAGATCCCTTCCAATTTTTTTATTATTATTATTAATATTATTATTATTATTAACAATGGGGAATATTTCCGTCCCGGTTCCCGGGGAGTGACCCAGATCTCGGCAGGGAAAAGGACATATTAAATTCAAGAGTTTACAAGAGCCAGAAGATTTAGTTGGATTGACAGCTCCAAGACTTTACAATGTACTACCATGCCAGTTCCTTAATATGGATTATGGGTTCTCTCTCTTTACAGTCAGCTGGGCAAGGAACAGTATCTCTGCTTAATAAAATAAGGAACATTTTACTGCCTAATAACCTTTGCAGCAATAAGTAATGTATTGACTGTCTGGGATGAGTATAGAGAGAAAGGATTAAGTCCAGATTTTTTTGTTTTCCTTTTCTTTCCTTGTTATTAAAATTTGCTTTTATGAAGAACAAAACACGGAGAAGGGTGCTTAGTGGAGACAGGACAATACATTCAAATGGCAAGATTGGACGGTAAACAAGACAAAGATAAAAATCTTTCGGGACTCTTAATGACACAAGAGCCGGATTGGTTCACTTGAGAGCTTTCAGAATATTGAAATGAGTAGCCCAAAACTTGCATCGCTTAAGAGATTTGACTGAATTTTAAAAACTCTCATTTAAAGGGAAATGGAAATGGGATCTGGCCATCTTTGTTGAATTCAGGTAACATGACCATCAGACATACATTCAGGCAGAAAACAATACCCCCAATAAAGGAACCACCCAGAAGAAAACCACACTCACATACCCCAACATGGCAAGCCATATATATATATATATATATATATATATATATATATATATATATATATATGTGTGTGTGTGTGTGTGTGTGTGTGTGTGTGTGTGTGTATGTATACACACACACACACACACATATATACACATATACACACACACACATATATGTACACACACACACACATACAAATATATATATATAAATAAATAAATATATATATATAAAAAATGCGACTCCCGGGCATAATTATAAATAGAATAAATGATGCGCAATCACCGGGAGAGTTAAAATAATATAGTGAAATACTTTTAATAAAGTGTTTTTACTTTTAACTCTCCCGGTGATCGCGCATCATTTATTCTATCTATCTATCTATCTATCTATCTATCTATCTATCTATCTATCTATCTATCTATCTATCTATCTATACATATATATCTATATCTATATCTATATGTAGGTCTTTGGTTGTCCGGGTTTTCTCCCACGTAAAATTGGAAGTGTCTTGGCGACGTTTCAACAAAGTCCCATTCGTCATCTTCAGGCTGGTGTTTTCAGCTTCGTGCTTCGAGGAGCACGAAGCTGAAAACACCAGCCTGAAGATGACAAATGGGACTTCGTCGAAACGTCGCCAAGACACTTCCAATTTTACGTGGGAGAAAACCCGAATAACCAAAGACCTACGTACAAACACCCACGAAAACCTCAGAAAACATTATAAAATACATACATACATACACACACATACACACACACATACAGCAAATACCCCCCCCCTTCCAGTACTGATATTACCTAGTTGGGTAATGAAACGTCTGCAAGAAAATAAGCTCAGAGAGCACCAAGGATCCCACAGACCTCCACTTCCTTCCTCACTTCTTCCCTCCTCCTTTCCACAAAGCCACCCCCCCCAGCACTGATGATGTTCCCTAGTTGGATCATGAAACATCTGCAAGAAAACCACCATGCCCCGGTCCACCCCTGAGCTATAAGCCTTCCCTTCTACCGGCATCACTGCTGCTTGCCAGAGGCAGGACAGCTGAGCTTTGGGGCACCTTACAAGAGTCACCCGTTGCTGGAAGAGAGATTTGGGGTCACCAGGCACCCTTTCTCTTTGCCTATGGGCCACCCCCCCCCAGCCCTGCCCACAGTGGGCAGAGAGCCAACACGAACCTTCCCAAACGGGCTCCAGCTGCCGACCTTCCCCCACCCCGGACAGACCCCAGCTGCACCTGAAGAAGAGCAAACAAAAATGAACCCAGCAAGGCAGCTATTTAATTACGTTCCTTTTTTTTTTTTTGTCCCAAATGCAGGTTGTTCTTTTTTTAAAAAAAGAGAAAAACGAAAAAAAAAAAAAAAAAGAGAACTGCTATCCTGATCGTTAGATGCATCATCTTCGAGAGAGCGATGAACTCGGGACCCGCTCCAGTCCTGGGCACTCTGCACGTGAGCCACGTTGCGTCTTTTTGGGCAACGAGGGATTCCCCACAGGGAGCGTCGAGCGTCGGCCTTCCGGAATCCATCCCGGGAGAGAAGGAAGGTGGGGGCGAAAGAGGGCAAGCGGAAGGGGCTGCACAGAGCGCCACTCCCTCGCTTGGCAGGACCAGGGCCTTGGAGGGGAAGGTTCCCCGGAGGTCTCTGCCCACAGGTGGGAGTAGGGAACCGTGGAAGGGAACTACGTGAGGTTGCATGCAAGGGGCGTCGGAGGAAGCGTGCGAGCGGGCGGCAATGCTGAGCAAAACGGCAGGGCTGGGAGAGGATCAACACAACTCGGGGGCGGGGGGTGTATTCGTTTTAGGGGGCCTACGAACCAAGAGTACGTTTGTCAACGTCAAGCCCGGAGGGCCAAGCCAAGGGGCGCCACTGGGCAAAGTCGAGTGTCCTGAGCTGAGCCCTGGCCTTGAGGGGGGGGGGACACAGCCTTCCGATGCAGCACAGAGAGAGGGAGGAAGGCTGGCTGGGAAGCCCAGGTACTGCCGGGCAGCAGAGCCTCCTGCTGTGGGCGGCGTGTCTTGAGCAATGCCCTCCCTCCCGGTGAGGGGCTGGTCAGTGGGACTCCTTGATGATCACCTCCACGCCGTGCTGTCGGAGCTGTGCTCGTAGAATCAGGTTCTTGTTCTTCAGATCTTCGACCTGCAAGCAGAAGAGAAGGACAGAGACGGAGGTTCCTAGACCAGGGCTTTATCAATTTTGAGATGGGTGGACGTCTGAATGGGATGCCCATCCGTCAGAGGGATGGAATGAAGATCCCCTGAGGTACTAGGACGGCTCTATAAAGCCTTAGTAAGGCCATACTTGGAATTCTGCATCCAGTTTTGGTCTCCACACTATAAAAAAAGCTGTTCAGAATCCAGAAAGAGTGCAGAGAAGAGCAACCAAGACGATTAGACAACTGGAGGCTAAAACATACAAAGAATGGTTGCAAGAACTGGGCATGGCTAGTGAAGAGAAGGACCAGGGGTGACATGACAGCACTGTTTCAATATCTGAGAGGCTGTCACAGAGAGAAGTCAACCTATTTTCCAAAGCATCTGAAGGCCAGACAAGGAATAATGGATGGAAGGTAATCAAGCTGAAATTCAACCTAAAAATAAGGAGCGATTTTCTGACAGTGAGAACAATCAATCAGTGGAACAGAAGTTTCCTTCAGAAGTCACTGGAGGTTTTTAAGAAGAGAGTGGACAGCCATTTATCTGGAATGGTATGGGGTCTCCTGCTTGAGCAGGGGGTTGGACTAGATGACCAACAAGGTCCCTTCCAGCTCTGCTATTCTGTTGTTTTGATCTCTATATGGACGACAGGCTACTAATTTGCAAACAGCTTAGTAGTTTAAAATAGTTTCTAGGTGTGTTTCACAAGAGGCGAGATACCAATATAGCAGTAATGCATTATAATCAATATTCAACTGGGGGGATAATATATATCTCTCTCTGTGTGTGTATGTGTGTGGTTTTTCTTTTTTGCACCCTTTTTTCAATGTCACGTTTGTTTTTCGTTTTCTTTTAAAATTTGCACTTTAACTTTTTTTGAATAAAATAAAAAGGTGAGTGGACATCAGTTCCCAAAATTGCCCAGCTAGCAGGCTGAGAAACACTGGTCTAAACATCCAAGGGCTTCGCGAATGAGATGGCAAGCATGTTCTGTGAATCAGGTCAGCTGGATTCATCCTAGACCAGGGGTAGGCAACCTTGGCTCTTTTATGACTCGTGGACTTCAACTCCCAAAATTCCTGAGCCAGCTGTGCTGGCTCAGGAATTCTGGGAGTTGAAGTCCACGAGTCATAAAAGAGCCAAGGTTGCCTACCCGTCCTAGACCCTTGAGGAGCCCATGATGGGAAAGCCAGAGCATTGAGGGTCCCCTCCAGAAATAGGGGAGGGGGTATCTCCCCTTACCTGTTGTCGCAAGACTTCATTATCCACCTGGAGTTGTTCCAGGCCTTGCAGCTCCTCAGAAAGACGGATATTGTTCTGTCTTAATTCTTGAATGTAGTCACAAGCTTTGGAGAGGATCCCTCCTTTACTCTGCAGGAGGAAGAAGAGAAAGGGACTCAAGAGAGTAACCTTAGCTACTTTGGGGGAGCCATCATTACGGATTTGGTCACCGCTTTTAATGACGAGAAGGCGGAACCTTCTGGATTATCACTCCCCAAGCATCCTGGACTGGAGACAAATAACTCTTTTACCACCAATGAGCTAACGGTTACCGGCCCAGCAGATCACTAACTAGATCACCAGCAGTGCAAAATCTGCTCAGGGGAAGAATCGGTGGCCTCCAGGTGTCTACTAGATGTCACTTCAGCCGCAGAAGCCAATGAGGGAGAATGCTGGAGGTCTCCTGCACGGATATCCTGCAGCATCCATTCAGAAACCCCCTCACCTTCCATTCAACAGAGGCAGCCCTCGACAGCAACTGGGACAAAATTTGGGTCGCTAAATGATGTGATTGTAAAAACAGGACATCATGTGATTGCATTGCTTGGGGACAGAATTCCAGTCATAACCCCAGAACCTTTGGGTCGTTCGGCGGGAAGAGGTTAAGAGTCCCAAGCAGTGCACACGTGCCATCGGGGGGGGGGGGGGCGCCACGGAGGGTGCTACAGAATATCCCTTCACTGACTTTGGAGGGTAATTGGGGCCTTCCCTGGCAGCTTCCCCGTTGACTTTGCTGGTTGGAGTTGGAGACCCAAGTGCCCCGATCATGATCCCTGGGAACACTTGGGACTGTAAGGAGCCACCCCACTTTGCATCTTAAGAAGACAGAACTCTTGCAATAATTCTTCCAACAGGGATCCTTTATTAAGAGAACATGGTTGCAGGCGTTCTAGACAGGACTTGGGGTTCAAGCTCTCCCATTCGAGGTTTTAAGGGGTTCCCTAGTAGTCCCACCCAATCACCCCCCTCTTCCAGTGACAGTTTCAGGCATCACAATCCCACCCCTTTTTTCCTTTCTGCCGGCTGGAGGGAGACTTCAGATAAACTACATGAAAGATAAATAGCCTCCTTTGTTATGATAAGGCCTTTTGGTGCTAACCACATTCAAACCCTTTGAAGTTGTACCAAAGGAAGTGAGGGCCATAAAGCCCCTTTGTTCACCTCCCTCTCTTTCTTTATGGCAGAATCCAGAGAGGGCAGAAATGGGGTTTTCTATAATTGATAACTGGAGATGAAGTATAATTGGATTCTGACAGGGACATCAGCAAGGTGCCTTGCAATTTGGAAGGGTGGCTGAACAAGGGGCCGTAATTCGAGGACTTCCCGTGTGATCAATTTCAAGCAAAAGCTCCCCATTAGCCTTCTTGGCAGTCAAGATGTGCCAGAATAATTCGCCAACATGCTGGAAATGTCAAAAAAAGTACATGGAACATATTATCATCTATGGTGGACATGCCCAGTTGCAAAAAAAATACTGGTCTACAATAAGAAAATGGATCCAAGAAATAATAGACCAACCCATAGACTGGAAACCAGAGATCTTTTTGTTGGGTATTTTAAATAGAAAATATAGTAAAGAAATATGGTACTTAATTTTACATATAATAACGGCGGCAAGAATAGTATATGCTCAGTGCTGGAAAAATGAGAATATACCATCAGAGGAAGAAGTAATAAGAAAAATCCTGGACTGTGCGGAGATGGACAAATTAACAAAAGAGATAAAAGAAAAGGAAGACACAGAGTATTATATAGTATGGAACAAGTGGTATGTCTGGTTGGAGACTAGAAATAATAGAGAATAAATATGAAAAGGTCAAAAGTGAAAATAGGTGTATAATAATGTATAATAATAATAATATGAATTATTCTTAGTAAGAAGTAGAGTATGAAGGAAGAAAAAATGTAAATAAGAAATAACGGGGCTATAAGGACAAATATTCTAAAGAAGAATAAGGGGGAAATGTAAATAATAGATTACCGTTACGCAATTGCTGTAAAAAAAAGGAGCATATATTGTGTGTGTATGTGTGTTATGTTTTGCTTTGTTTTGTCTTGTTGGTTAAAAATAAAAATTTAAAATAAAAAAAAGCCTTGCTGGCAGTGAAGGGAAGCACTATTTTTCTTTAATTATTTGTATCCTGCCTGTATTGTTTGATAGATAACTCAAGGCAGCAAACATATCCGCACCCCTTCCTCCTCCTATTTTCCTCACAACAACCCTGTGAGGTGGGTTGGGTTGCGAGAAAGACTGGCCCAAAGTCCCCCCAGCCGGCTTTCAGCCCTAGGGCGAAACTAATATTGCCTCTATCGCTAACCCTAAACCTTACCTCCCCATAGCAGAGCTGCTCAGCCTTTCTTACCTGTGCAGACTTGGTGTTCTCCATAGAACAGTCTGGAATGATCTTGGACAGCTGGACAATCCAGTTGTTGATCTTGTCCCTGCGTCGGCGTTCCACTACAGGACACAAAAAGAGCCGAGGTGGCGCAGCCGTTAGAGTGCAGTCCTGCAGGCCACTTTAGCTGACTGTGTTCAGCAGGTCAGCGGTTCAAATCTCACCGGCTCAAGGTTGACTCAGCCTTCCATCCTTCCGGGGTAGGTCAAATGAGGACCCAGATGGTTGGAGGCAATGTAAATATATATATACATTCGAGCAGCAGCTCGAAGCACGAAGCTGAAAACACCAGCCTGAAGATGACGAATGGGACTTCGTCGAAACGTCGCTAAGACACTTCCAATTTTACGCGGGAGAAAACCCGAACAACCAAAGACCTACATATATACATACATACATACATACATACATACACGTTGCTTACTGGTGTGCACCGCTTAGAGAGTGCTTGCACTTAAAGCGGTATATAAGTCTCATAAATAAATAAATAAAAGGATTATTACAACAGAATCTACTGGAATGAGAGGGTCTACTTCACTGTTTTGCAAGCTTGGCAATGTTAAAACGCATGGACTTCAAACCCCCAGCATTCCCCAGCCAGCATGAAAAATTGCATATGAACAGAACTAATTCTGCGGAGGAGGGAGCTGGATCTGCCACACAATTCACTTAACAACGGTGGCAAAAAGATTGTAAAATTAGGCAGGACTCACATAACCACCGCCTTGCCTAGCAATCAAAAATTCTACTTTGATCCTGATCAGCTCTAGGTTGACTCTGCTTTCCGTCCTTCCGAGGTCGGTAACAGGAGGACCCAGATTGCTGGGGCAAATATGCGGATTCTGTAAACCACTTGGAGCAGGCTGTAAAGCACTGTGAAGTGGGACATAAGTCTAATGGCTTATGAAAGTCTTTCTTTCTTTCTTTTTCCTTCCTTCCTTCCTTCCTTCCTTTCTTTCTTTCTTTCTTTCTTTCTTTCTTTCTTTCTTTCTTTCTTTCTTTCTTTCTTTCTTTCTTTCTTTCTTTCTTTCTTTCTTTCTTTCTTAGGACACAGACAAACCTTCAGGTGGCCTCAAGAACTCTCTAAAAAGAAGGCAAATGACCAGCTGTCTGCAAGGAATGTAAACCCTCCCAGTTCCCCCCCATCCAGTCAGAGCTGAAGAAGCTTCTTGGATGAGAGGCGAAACGTCTTCAGAGGGGAAAAAAAAAAGGAAGTCCAGTTGTCTTGTGAAAAAAGAAAAGAAAAGCACCTTTGGGACAATCACGACCTAGATGGCGGAGAACCTCCCTCCACAGACCTCCCCAGTTCTACTCCACCAACCTAACTACTATACACCACTGCCTCTCCCCCAATCCCCCAGGGCAGCTATCTTCCTCACCTTCGTTGTGTTGAGCCCGACGCTTCTCATCCCGCGTTGTCCGTGGAGCTTCTGATTTCCTGGGACGAGAAAAAGGCGGGTGTCAGAATCCAATTATATTTCATCTCTAGTTATCGACTATGGAAAACCCCATTTCTGCCCTCTCTGGATTCTGTCATACTACGAAGGGGAAGGGGGGTGAGCAAAGGGGTTTTATGGCCCTCACTTCCTTCATTAAAACTTCAAAGGGACTGAATATGGATCCCACCAAGAGGACTGACCATAACAATATGGCCATCACCTTTCATCTACTACTCTCTGAAGTCTCCCTTCCGCCGGCCATGAAGAAAAAGGGGGTGGAAATGTAATGCCTGGGATTGTCGCTGGAAAGATGGTGGGGTGGGGTGGGGCTGCTGGAGGCCCCTTAAAACCTTGACCCATAGGGCTTGGCCCCCAAGTCCTGTCTAGAACACCTGCAACCATTTTCTCTTAATAAAAGATGCCTGTTGGAAGAACTATTCCAAGAGTTCTGTCTTCTTAAGATGAAAAGTGGGGTGGGTCTAATTAACACTGGCGTCGTTAGATTTACGTTGTGTCATCATTTAAGTCAGAATTCTGATAAATGAGGCATTGTCGGTCTGTGACACTGGCTAGGATGTTAAAAACGGAAAAAGGACTATCAAACCAGGCTTGGAAATGTGAAGAGGGGGCTTCTTATCGTGCACGATGAACTTAAGAAGAAAAACAAAAAAAATTGGGGAGCAAAATTTATACACTGATGAGAAGATATTGCAGATTAGTATTAAATGAAAGTGGAATTGCTTCGATTGAGCTTTATGGACTGAACTGGAAAAGAAATATGGGAAACTAAGATTGTAGAAGGTAACTGTGACAAGATTATTGTATGTACAAAGAGGGATGAATAATAAAATCTCCCCAGTGGAAGACTGGATTATAAAACTGCAAAGCTAAGCAGTTGGATCAGGGTAAAAATGATACAAGACTTTTTTTAAAAAAAAAAAAAAAGACTGGAAACCTTTTTTGGACTTTTTATGGAAAGAAGAAAAGGCTGTTTTTAATGTGTTTTTCTTGGTTTCACGTTGTGTTTTTAAGTTTTTTTAAAAAAATATTATTTGTATCTCATTATCCTAATGCTGGTCTCTGAACCATAATAAAGATTTGATTTTAAAGGGTAAAAGGGTAAAATTAAGATGGCAATTACTCAACTGAAAGAAAGATGGAAGTCATAACTGGATGTTTACCTTCTTTTTTTCATTTTTTTTCTATTTTACATTTTTTAAAAAAATGTTTGACCTTTTTATGCTTTGATTGTATTAGAACAGTATTTCTCAACCTTGACCATTTTAAGGCATGTGGACTTCAACTCCCAGAATTCCACAGCCAGCATTGCTGGCTGTGGAATTCTGGGAGTTGAAGTCCACATGCCTTAAAATGGTCAAGGTTGAGAAACACTGTATTAGAAGATAGAAAATAGAATCCCAGGGCTGGGAAGGACCTTGGAGGACATCTAGTCCAATGTCCTACTCAAGGCAAGAGACCTATTGAAAAATCTAATAAAAATAATAATAAAAATAATTCTACACTCAAAGTTATATTCCCAAATCCCAAGCGAGAGAGAGAGAGACTAGCAAACCAACTCTGAAAACTTGGAAAACTAAGCAAAACCCCTCCCAATTTGGACTTCGGCAAGAATGGCATTAAACACGGGGCCTGTCACTCACGGGGAATAAGGGTGAGTCCGGGGCGCGATCGACCGCTGGGTCCCACTCTGCAGCACTTCCTGGGGTGACATCATGACGAAAAACTGCCCTGTTCGAAGCAGGAGAGAGAAAGGCTTTGGGTTGACAAAACACTCCAAAACGAGTTAATTGCAACTGTGGACGCAGAACGTGCTATGTTCAAACTGCAGGCAGTCCTCGACTTACAAGAGTTAATTTAGTGACCGTTCAAAGTTACAACAGCACTGACAAAAGTGGCTTGTGACTGTTTTTCACGCTTACGACCGTTGTTAGCGTCCCCACGGTCAAGTGATCAAAATTCAGATGCTGGGCAACTGGCATGTACTTATGACGGCTGCAGTGTCCTGGGGTCACGCCATCCCCAGGACACTGCATGGAAAACCCATACCATTTCAGACCACAATTCGGGCAGTCCTCAACTTACAGCAGTTTGCTTAGTGACGTTTCGAAATTACCATGGCACTGAATAAAGTGACTCACGGCGACTTTTCACACTTGTGACCGTTGCAGCATCCCCATGATTTACATTTGGATGCCTGACCACTGACTCACATTTACGACGGTCCCGGGCTCATGTGATCCCCTTTTGCAACTTTCTGATAAGCAAAGACACTGCAGGAAGCCACATTCACTTAACAGCTGTGTAACTAATTTAACAACTGCAGCGATCCGCTAAACACCTTTGGCATGAAAGATCATGATGTTATGGTTCCGGCTAATGAAAACACTTCAAAGAACTTCCAGGCGCTGATTTTCTTAAAAGTCGTTTATTGTTACAAAATGTCGACATTTTTTTTTTTTTTTTATTAAAAGTTTTATAAATTTTACAAAAAAAAAACAAGAACAATACAGAACAAAAAACAACATATACAAAAGAAAAAAAAATTAAACAATACATATAAAAAAAACCCCCCACCCCACACCCCTCCCAAAAACCCTCCCTTCCCCCCCCCTGAGCTTCCCAGAGCAGAATATAGGCTTAAGAAATAATAATAATAAAAAAAAAAAAAAAAATAAAAATAAAAATTAAATTAAAAACTTTATATTTATATATATAAAAAAGATATCTATAATATATATAAAAATAAAACTTATGAAAAAGCTATATAATATTTTTGTATACCCAATCTAAATTGTATAAATTTTATCCATTTGTCCCAGATAGCAAAAAACTTCTCTTGCGTTTGTTGCTTTAAGAAAGCCGAAATCTTTGCCATTTCTGCCAGATAAGCTACTTTAAAAAACCATTCCTGCAATGTAGGCAAAGATTCCTTCTTCCAATATTGTCCAATTAACAGCCTCGCGGCTGTGATCAAGTTTAACATCAATACAACCTCCTTTGTATCACAATCTGTAACAATACCTAACAAAAATAATTGCGGAGTAAATTTTACCCTCCTTCTAAAAATTCTCTGGATATTCCACCATATTTTGATCCAAAATGCTTTTATCTCTCTACATGACCACCAAATATGATAATAAGAAGCCTCCTTATAACCACATCTCCAACATTTAGGTTGCACGTCAGGGTACATATAAGACATTTTTTGTGGATCAAGGTGCCATCTATAAAACATTTTATAAAAATTCTCCCTTAGATTCTGTGCTTGAGTAAATTTGACATTTCTCACCCAAATAGTTTCCCAGGTGTCCAATGAAACTGGCTCACCAAAGTTCTGCGCCCATCTAATCATACAATCTTTAATTAGTTCCGTTTCTGAGTCCAATTCAACTAAAACCCCATAAATTCTCTTAATGTGGGTTTGTCTTTGATCCTTCAGTTGCTTAATAAGATTTTCATCTTCTCTAAGAAAACCCACCTTACAATCCATCTTCCATCTATCTAGTAGTTGCCTATATTGGAACCAAGAATAAGTAAAATTTTCTTGTGCTAATTCTTCCCGTGATTTTAATTGCCAGTTTTGTCCATCCCATTTAAGTAACTGTCTGTAAGACACCATATCCATTTTAACCCCTCTTTTTATTCCTTCTATCGCATGCCAAGGTATAGCCCATAATGGTACTTTAAAATCACTTTTATAATATTTTCTCCAAATCCTAAGTAAAGAAATTCTTAAAATATGAGATTTAAAAGCCCAATCTATTTTTTTATTAAATATTAAATAGGCATGCCACCCATAAAGTAAATCCCATCCCTCTAGATAAAGTATCTCAGAATTTGTCAAATTTACCCAGTCACTAATTAATGTTAAAACCACCGCATCATAATATAATTTCAAATTTGGTACCTTGAGTCCGCCCCTCTCACGGAAGTCTTGCATAATTTTGAACTTAACCCTTGGTTTTTTCCCTGCCCAAATAAATTTATTGAGACCCTTCTGCCACTCATTTAAATTAATCTCATTTTTCAAAATTGGTAACATTTGAAACAAAAAAAGAAACTTGGGTAGAATATTCATTTTTATCACTGCAATTCTTCCCATGAGGGATAATTGCAGCTTTTCCCAATTCTTCAAGTCTTTCTGTACCCCGACCCACAACCTTTCATAATTATTTTTAAATAGTTTTGCATTAGAAACAGACAGCATCACCCCCAAATATTTTACCTTATTAACAATCTCAAAACCCGTCGAGTTAACCAAAATCTGCTTCTCCTGACTCGACAAATTTTTAGGTAAAATTTTAGTCTTATTTACATTAATCTTAAAACCTGAGACCAAACCATAATGGTGAATCAACTGTAATAAGTTTACTACAGAATAATCAGGTTGCAACAAAGTAACAACCAAGTCATCCGCAAAAGCTCTCAACTTATATTCTTTTTTATTAACATATATTCCTTTAATTTCCTGAGACTCTCGAATTTTAATCAATAATATTTCCAATGTTAAAACAAACAACAATGGCGATAAAGGACACCCCTGTCTAGTACCTTTCTCTATTGTGAAAACCTCCGACAAACCTCCATTAACAATAAGTTGTGCTGTTTGTTTTTGATATATTACCTTAAGGGCTTGTAATATGTTTTCACCAAAATTCATTTCTTCCATTACTCTTAGCATAAAATGCCAATTCAGTTGGTCAAATGCTTTTTCAGCATCTAAAAATATGAGCCCTGCAGGAACTTGGTTGTTCTTATCTAAGTATTCTAATAAGTTAATAATTTGTCTAACATTGTTTTTCATATACCTTCCTGTTATAAACCCTGATTGATCTTTATGCACAAGATGATGCACCACCCTCATAAGCCTATTTACCAAAATTTTTACAAATATCTTATAATCCACGTTTAAAAGAGATATAGGCCTATAGTTTTTTGGTAAAGTAAGATCTTGATCCTCCTTTGGAATCAATGATATAAAAGCACTACGCCATGAAGGAGGAATCTCTAAACCCTGTAAGATACCATTAAAAAGATCATTTAATGGTTGAATCATCTCCTCCATTAAAGCTTTATAATAAACAGCTGTTAACCCATCCGTACCCGGTGCTTTCCCTAATTTCAATTGTTGAATTGCTGAGGCGATTTCCTCCTTAGTAATTAAACCATTAATTTCATATTTCTGATCCTCAGTCAGTTTAGGAAAACTTGCCTCAGCTAAATATTTATTTATATCTAACAGTTGTACATTAGTAGATTTGTATAGGTTTTGATAATAATCCAAAAAAGATTTTTTAATTAATTCCTTCTGAGAAACTAGTTTACCCTTATAATTTATTTTCTCTATTATTCTCAGTCTCTGTTTCTTTCTTAATTGATAAGCCAACCATCTCCCCGGCTTATTAGCATTACAAAATGTATTTTGTTTCATAAATAATAAATTGGTTGCAGCTTGATCTGCTATCAACATATTAAATTGTGACCTTAATAACTTTACAGATTCTTTAGTACTTTCATCAGAAGGATTTAGAATCAAAGCCCTTTCTTTTAGTTTAATTTCATCTTCAAGTTCTCTACGTTTCTGAATCTGATTTCGCTTATAAAAATTATTCATTTTTATCAAAACACCGCGCATAAATGCTTTACCTGCATCCCATACCATTGACATTGAAGTCCCCTTGTACATATTCAAAGCAAAATAGTCCTTTAAACACTCCTTTAGTTTTTGAACATTCTTCTCTTGTCTAAACAAATTTTCATTAACTCTCCAGGATCTTCTTTCCTCTTTCTCTTGAATCAACTCCATCCAAACTGGACTATGATCCGTCAGTGATCTAGGAAAAATCTTTACATTCTTTACTTTATTATACAAATCCGTGGTAATCAAGAAAAAGTCAATTCTTGAAAAAGATTGGTGTCTGTCAGAAAAAAAAGTAAAGTCTCTCTCCTCTTGATTACGTTCCCGCCAATAGTCCCTTAATTCCCAGTCTTCTTTCATATCAAAAAAGGCTTTAGGTAGCCTTGCTTGTTTAAGAAAAGGAGAGGAACCTTTCTTATCCCTTTGTGTATCTAAGACACCATTCCAATCACCCATTAATACCACCGATCTATAATCAAGCAAAGTTATTTTTTGGTGTAACTGTTTATAAAATTGTTCCTGTTGTTGATTTGGAGCATAAAGTCCAACTATAAGTACTTTCTTACCATAAATACCAAGTTCAATCATCACATATCTCCCCTGGGGATCTGATTCTACCAGACAAGCTGGCAGGTTTTGTTTGACATATATAACAACTCCCCCTTTCTTCCCAGGTGCAGGAGATATAAAATGAGATCCCAAACGAGCATTAACTAAATATTTCTGATCTTTAAGTAGAATATGAGTTTCCTGTAAACAAATAACATCATTGGTATGTTGTTTCAAATAATAAAAGATTTTTTTCCGTTTCTGAGGAGAATTCAATCCATTAACATTCCAGGTCAAAAACTTTGCCATCTCCCTTGGCACGCAGCCTGGAGAAGACACCATCAAACTCTGACAGAGCTGCGTGTGTTGCATAACTCTTGGGTCTTGCTCCTCCCACCGGCGGTGATGCACTTCCAGGAGAATTCTCTTTGGGCTCTTTTTTACGTTGCTCTTTCTCTTTACGCTTATAAGCTGCACGAGTCATCCTCTGCTCTTTAGCCTCCGTTTGGCGTTGCTTTGCCACTTCTATCATCCCTGCGGAAACCAAATCTAGTGCCTCAGATTGCTGCTCAGGTTCCTTAGCACTCAAAGATTTCCGACCAGATGAAGTTGAGCCTGCACTCAGGACCGAAGTATAGAAATCTCTAGCTTTGTCAACTGTGTTCAATCTGTAACGTGTCCCAGCATGGCTCAAAACGATACCCATCGGAATTTCCCATCTGAATGGCATCGATCTAGCTTTAAGCTCATTGGTTAAAAAAGCAAAGTCTTTCCTACTTCTTAAAATTTTAGATGGGATTTCCTTTAGAATGATGACATCTTGGGCGGCAATCTGAAATCTTTTGTTGTAAAAAGCTTGTATAATCTCATTCCGCAGGGACTTCTTTGTAAAGTAAATCACCACATCTCTGGGCAAATTCTTCTGCTTAGCAATCCAGGAGTTGAGTCTATAAATTTTTTCTACTTCTCTCTGTAATTCTCCTTTATCCATATCCAAAGCCAGCGCCAGATCACTAAGAACCACCTCCATCAAATCTTGATTCATATCTTCCTTGAGGCCTCTAATCCTCAGAGCATACTCCATTTGTCTGTATTGAAACATCAAAATATCTTCTTGTGAGGAGTCCACCTTCCTTTCCACGTCTTGAATTTTGTCATCTAAAGAGTCAACTTTGTCTTCCACTTCCTCAAGCCTTGCATCGAGCTTAACCACCACAGTAGCCAAACCTGAAACAGCTGCCAGTATATCTTGTCGTAATTCATTATTATTTTCTTGCAATTTAGACTTTATCCCCGTTATCTCTTCTTTGAGATCAGATTTAATTTCTGATTTAATCTGTGAAACAAATTGAGTCATTTCCTCTCTCATTTGAACTACAATCTCTCCCATTATGCCTCTAACCTCTTGCACTGAAAGTCCAGGTAGAGGAGGGGAGGGTGGTGGCTGAGCCGGTGGTGCATGTTTAGATTGTTGTTGTAGCTGTGCAGTGGAAGTTATAGGAGAAGAAATAACCTTGGGTACTGAGGAAGGCTGCTGCCTCTTTGAAGCCATTTTAAAAAGCACAATTGTCACTTCCCTTTCCCCTCCAGCCAAAAAGGGAGGAGGAAAAAAAGAAAAAAAGAATTTTTAAAAAGAGACAAACTATAATCATTAAAAGTCCAGAATAAATCCCAAGAATAAGTAATAAAAGAGCAAACAATTCAAAAAAAAAATTCTAAGCCAAAAGCAAAAGCAAAAGCAAAAAACAATCCTTAAAAAGGGAAAGTAAAACAAAAGAGAAAGGAAAAAAAAACTCCGACACTTTCAAAACGCCATCTTAAGTCCTTTCACTAGTATAACAAAGAAAAGGAGGAAAAATAGTAAAAATCAAAAGATAAAAAAATAAACACCTAAAATATAAGAAAAAGTCCTTTAAACTGCTCCGTCCGTTTAAAAATTACTCACCAAAATGCTGTAAACACGGAGATAGAAGCGGCGGTTTCTTTTGCTTCCAAGGAAGCAAAAACAGCTGGGAGGCGGAGATCAGCAAGAGCTCCGAGGGAACACTCCTTTCACCCCCTCTAGAAATAAATCCAGAGGGGGTTCAGGGGTTCTACCTCTACTCTTGCGTTCTCTATCCCTTCCCTTTGCCCGGGAAGGGATTTCCGAGCCGCGGGCCAGCTGATGCGCGCTGCGCTCCGCGGCTCTGACACTTCCCCAGCTGGACGGCTAAAAGCTAGCCGCCATCGCCGTCGCCTCCCACCGGAAGCTTCCAAAATGTCGACATTTTGTAACAATAAATGACTTTTAGGAAAATCAATGCCTGGAAGTTCTTTGAAGTGTTTTCATTAGCCGGAACCATAACATCATGCCAAGATCTATCAGTGTTTCTCAACCTTGACCATTTTAAGGCATGTGGACTTCAACTCCCAGAATTCCACAGCCAGCAATGCTGGCTGTGGAATTCTGGGAGTTGAAGTCCACATGCCTTAAAATGGTCAAGGTTGAGAAACACTGCTCTAAATTCTCTTCCCCTGAGCAATTAAATTATCAGCATGTTCCCTCCCTAAATTAGCTGTCATATATCACGGTGATCCAATTAGTATGAAGGTCAAAGGTTTCCTTCCTCTCTCTTTCCCTTTCCCCTCTTCTGCTCTGCATTAACTCTAAAAATACCAGACAGTTCTGCATATTGTCACAGCAAGAATACACAGTATTTGCAGCGTTGACGCATAACGAAGTGCAAAACTCACTTAATAAATGTCTCACTTAACAACAGAAATTTTGGGCTCAGTTGTGGTGATAAGTCGAGGACTACCTATAAAACAAATTATTGTGATTTTTACAAGATGCTAAAAGAATGGTTAGATTTCCCCTGCATGAGTGCCGTGCATGCCTTTTTTATAGTGATTAAGACTTAAGACCTTTTTGTATATAAACTTTAAAATACTTATGTATTTTAGTGTCTTATGATCTTTTTCACACTTAAGACCATTACAGCATCCCTCACGATCACATGATCAATATCTGGATGCTTGGTAATTGGTTTGTATTTATGATAGTCACAGTGTCCCGGGGCCACGTGATCCCCTTCTGCAGCCTTCTGACGACGTCAATGGGGAAGCCAGATTCACTTAACAACTGTGTTAGTAATTTAACAACTGCAGTGATTCGCTTTACAACTTTGGCATGAAAGCTCATAAAAAAGTGCAAAACTCACTTAGCAACTGTCTCGCTTGACAACAAAAATGATGGGCTCAACTGTGGTCATAAGGTAAGGATGACTTGTACTACTTTATAAGTAACTGAAGGCAGCGAACATACTTAATGAAAGATTTGTTACAAATATAACCTGGAAACATAACTTGGTTACTGGGGTGTTCATGAATGCTCCAGGCCACAGGTGGAGAACGACGGCTTTTATGACTTGTGGACTTCAATTCCCAGAATTCCCCAGTCAATTCAATTCTGGAAATTGAAGTGCACGGGTCTGAAGGTTGCCAAGGTTGGGAAACTCTGTCTAGGCCTACTGAATTATCGCTTCCTTTAGCTTTCAAAAGGGGTTTACAAGTCAAAAGGCAGCATTTATCAGTGGAATACAAATTAATCAAATCAATAGACTGGAGGAGTGGGGAGAGTGACAGAATGATAGCAGAGTGAAAGGATAAATCTGGGCCCGGCCTCCATCTGGGTGTTATGGTTCCGGCTAATGAAACATTCCAAAGAACTTCCAGGCATTTATTTTCCTAAAAGTCTTTTATTGTTACAAAATGTCGGCACAGGCACAACGGAGGGATGCTAGGATCTAAGTTCTCTTCCTCTGAGCAGTTAAATTATCAGCATGTTCCCTCCCTAAATTAGCCGTCATATATCACATTATCCAATTGGTGTGAAGGTCAAAGGTTTTCTTCCTCTTTCTTTCCCGGGCTTTACCCCCAATCCCCCTTCTGCTCTGTATTAACCCCATAAATACCAGACAGTTCTGCATATTGTCAAAAGCAAGAATATACAATATTTGCAGCGTTGACGCTGGGATGGTCCTGCCCAACTGACCTGTGCCGGTGGGCGTGGCTTGTCCCAGAAGGGCGTCTGAGTTCTGGGTGGTGACCACCGCAGTCGTCCCTGCTCCGGCAGAAGTGCTGGTGTCGGCCACTGCGGTGGCAGGGTAATAAGTGTAGTGGGTCTCGGTGGCCGTGGCTTCGGAGTCCACTGCATCTTCGCTTGTGAATGCGCCTTGGATGACAGCCTAGGGGAGAAGCTCCAGAGAGTGACTTCAAGATTTATGGACTTCAATTCCCAGAGTTCCCCAGCTAGTCTTAAAGTTGCCAATTTGGAGACTCCTGTCTAGAGTCAAGCAGGGAACATGCTCTAGGACAGTGGTTCTCAACCTTTTTAATGCCGCAACTCCCAACCAGTCGTAAGTCGAGGACTACTCAACCAGTCGTAAGTCGAGGATTACTCAAGTGGTGCAGCACCGTTTGCAGAATGGGACTTTTGGCGGGCTCATCAGGGCAGAGACAGCCTGGACAATTCCTATTGGCTTTGGAAAGCCAATAGAATTAGACTCTATTCAAGAGAGTCTATTCTATTGGCTTTCAAAAGCCAGTAGAGTAAAAGGGAGTAGCACAGCTAAGGAAAAGGGGGAAAAAATGGCGGACTGCGTTGTTTGGCGACCCCCGTGAAATGGTCGTTCGACCCCAAATGGGGTCCCGACCCACAGGTTGAGAACCACTGCTCCAGGACCTTGGCCACCTGAAGAGGTGAGGACTTCAATTCTCAGAATTCTCCTCTCTTTCCTGGCAGCCAGGCGATTCAGCCCAACAACAGGGCTGCTTTCTCTTTCCCAGGAGCACCCACCTTCCTCTCCTCCAAATGGCCTACCTGGGTCATGGACTGTGTCGCAGGGTAGCCACTGATGGCCCCACTGCCCTCCGTCTGGCCATCCAGTTGGCCCTCGGCCACCTGTATGACTCTGTACATCAGCTGGAGGAAAGAGCAAAAAGAAGATTCAATTCGGGGTGGTGAACGTGGTAAACTAAGCATGGGGAGCTTGGATATTATTTATTTGAATCCCGCCTTTATTATTTTTATAAAAGCCTCAAAGCTGCAAACATATCCAACACACTTTCCTCCTATTTTCTCCGCAACAACCCTGTGAGGTGGGTTGGACTGAGAGAGAGAGGCAGACTGGCACAAGGTCACCCAGCTGGCTTTTGTACCTAAGGCGGGACTAGAACTCACCATCTCCTGGTGATTGGCCCAAAGTCACCCAATCAGGTTTCATGCCCAAGGTGTGACTAAAACTCACCGTCTCCTGGTGATTGGTCCAGAGTCACCCAACTGGATTTCAAATGAGGAAGCTAGAGTCACTTAATAATCATGTTGTTAACATAACAGCTGCAGTGATTCACTTAACAACTGTGGCAAGAAAGGTCGTAACATGGGGCAAAAGCCACTTAACAACTGTCCTGCTTAGGAACAGAAATTTTGGGCTCAATTGTGGTCATAAGGACTATAATTTGTTTTTCCCCTTTAAAAAGATACAAAATCAGAACAATCAGATCCATGTCATCTTGAACAGATAGAAAAATTACAAGCAGGTTTGCAATTAATACAATCAATTGACCTGCAATCCCTTTTGGAAATAAATACCAAATAGCAAGCAGGGACCCTGGAAATGACTTTTTTTCTGATTTTTTTTTTTAAGAGAGCAATGTAGGGAAAATGCGCCCCAAAGCCAGCTGATGCCTACAAATGTTAAATCCATATTTGCAGGCAGCAACGATGCAAATAAGCGAGAAAGTCCCTTTGTGCAAACCAAATTCTGTTTTAGAAGAATATGTTAGCACAGGGAGCCAGCAGCACAGAGATGCTATTTAGACCAGTGTTTCTCGACCTCCGCAAGTTTAAGATGGGTGGACTTCAATTCCCAGAATTCTACCCATCTTAAAGCTGTTCAGCTTGAGAAAACTCTGGTCTGGATCCTTGCTGAGTGGCAAAGAAGGAGGCCTTCTGGCAGTTGCTCACAGCACCTTACCTGAGCACCTCCATTCTCTGCTCGGAAGACATATTTGATGTTGGGATCCGGAAAGGTGGCTGCCGACTGGATGCTCGCAATGGCCACGCTGGTGGGATCTTCACCTGTCGCTACTGCTCCTTCAGGAAAGAAGAGAAAAGGGGCCGTAAAATAGGGCTGAAGCTCCCATTTTAATCCCCACCCTTCCCCAGGACTGTGCAGGGCAGATAGTCCTCAACTTACAGTCATTCGTTTAGTGACTGTGTGTTCTGTCCCAGCCCACTTGAGCTCCTTGGTTAAGTTAACAAGGAGAAAACCCCTCTTCAAATCAAGCAGGCAGAAACTGCAGGACAAACCCAAATCCCTTTTATTTACTCACAGATCTGAGGAAAACAAACACAGTTCATCACAACTTGATTCTTACCCGAACAGTTGCCTTTGGCAACCAGCACCTCCCACACCTCCCTTTTATTATGCAGCCAAGGCATGGCTTCCCTAATGCCTTCTCCTTTGCCTCTGGAGCCACCCCATTGCATGCCTCTGTCCTGCTCTCATTGCTTGCCGCCGTTTAGGAGCATCCTGGATATCACCCAGCTGTGAGTAGTCACTATCCCCCTGAGATTCCCAGCCCAGCTGTGTCTCAGCCTGAGCGCGAGTAGAGGGGCCAGGCTCCTGTCAGACTGTAAGTCTTGGAGCTCCGGATGCACGGGCTGGCGAGGAATCACAACACTGTGTGAAATTACATTGGCCCTGAAAATGTGACAGGACCGTTTTTCACACTTATGACCGTTGCAGCATTGCCATGGTCACGTGATCAAAATTTAGACATGTGGCAACTGACTTATATTTAGGACGGTTGCAGTGCCCTGGGGTCATGTGATCCCCTCTTGCGAACTTCTCACAAGCATAGTCAGTGGGGAAGCCAGATTTGCCCAATAACCATGTTACTACCGTATTTTCCGGCGCATAAGACGACTTTCTAAACCCTGAAAATCTTCTCAAAATTTGGGGGTTGTCTTATACACAGGAATATACGGGTAGCTGTTCTCTGAATTTAAAACCAATCTGCCCCTTAGTGGCCAGCCCTATTTTTTTTACAGAAATAAGCACTAACAGGACAAAGCTTTCTAGCAGCAAAGGAATGGAGCTCCTATTGTGCTCATCTATAAACAGAAATTCAATATTGTACTGTATTTTCTGGCGTATAAGACGACTTTCTAAACCAGTGGTTCTCAACCTCTCTAATGTCGCGACCCCATAATACAGTTCCCCATGTTGTGGTGACCCCCAACCACTTATACATCACCGGGTGCCAGGGGCGTGGCCAAAGAAAAGGGGAAAAAATGGTGGACAGCCTTGTTTGGCGACCCCTGTGAAATGGTCGTTCGACCCCAAATGGGGTCCCGACCCACAGGTTGAGAACCATTGTTCCAAACCCTGAAAATCTTCTCAAAAGTTGGGGGTCGTCTTATACGCCCAGTCGCCTTATACGCCGGAATATACGGTAACTTAACAACTGAAGTGATTACTTAACAACTGTGGCCAGATAGGTCGTAAAAGGGAGCAAAATTCACTTAACAACTGTCTTGCTTAGCAGCAGAAAGTTTGGCCTCAACTGTGGTTGTAAATCGAGGACTACTTGTGTCCCCACAATCAAAAATAAAATCTAAAGTAGGCTCAGACCTTATTTGGGTGGGAGACCACCAGGAAACCTCAGACTTTCCCAATCGAGGCGAGGAAACACATCCCAAAACTATGTCTGTAACATCGCCAAAAAAACTGTATAGACAAATCCTGGAGGAAGAGAAAATAAAACAGGGCTGGAGGATGCTCACCTTCCTGGATCTGAACCGTCCCCTCTTCTGTCTCTGATGCTTTCTGCTGCCTGCTGAGACAAGGAGGACCACGTGAGATGGGGACATTCTTTCCATCAGATATCTTATTTTTGAAGGAGAATATTTGGCGCTCTGGGTTGAAATAAGGGGTCCTTGATGCTCTCAGAGCTTGCACGGATGAGGTTACCCGATTAGGATAATGAAATGTCTGCAAGACAACAAGCAGGCTCAAAGGACATCAAGGACCCCTTATTTTTTTTATGGATCACATTTAGAGACCATTCGTCTCTCTCACAGAGCGATTGTGGGTCCTCTTGGGATACGCAGTGTTTCCCAAACTTGACAATTTTAAGGCATGTGGACTTCAACTCCCAGAATTCCACAGCCAGCATTGCTGGCTGTGGAATTCTGGGAGTTGAAGTCCACATGCCTTAAAATTGTCAAGTTTGGGAAACACTGGGATAGGGTGAGGCAGACCTTGCTTAGCTGGATGCTGGTTAGACAAGGGATTAAAGATGATAAAGGACCTGGAGGTTAAATTGTGTGAACGATTGAGGGAGCTAGGTATGTCTAGCCTACTGAAGGCAAGGATTAGGGGGGACATGATAGCAGTCTTCCAGTACGTGAGGGGCTGCCACAAAGAAGAGGGCGTCAACTTATTTTCCAAACCACCAGAAGACAAGAAGCAACAGATGGAACTAATCAAGGAGAGAAGCAACCTGGAACTAAGAAGACATTGACTGACAGCGAGAATAATTAATTACTGGAACAACTTGTCTCTAGAAGTTGTGGGTGTTCCAACACTGGAGGTCTTCAAGAAGAGACTGGACAGCCAGTTCATCAGGGTAGTATAAGGACTCCTACCTTGAGCAGGGGGCTGGACTAGAAGACCTTCAAGGTGCCTTCCAGCCTTAGGATTCTAAGACACACACATCTGGAGAACCTTTGTTCCTAAAAAAGAGGTTCCATCCGCCAAAGGCTCAGATATATTTTTATACTGAGGGAGGGGCTTGGAGATTTTGTATCGCATTATTAAAGTTTCCACTAGTTTTCAGAGTTTATTTCATGTATTTTAAGTTCTCAGTTTCCTAAATGCAATCGGGGTGAGTACATACTTTGTTTCCAAGTCAGCCTTCTTCATCCTCGGCTTGGTGGATAAGCCAGACATGCACAGAAGACAAAAGTCTACATGGGTTTTTAAGACAGTTGAAGATCTAATGTCATTCGCAACCTTGGCCACTTTTAAGATGTCTGAACTTCAACCCCCAGAGCTGGCTGGGGAATTCTGGGAGTTGAAGTCCAGGCATCTTAAAAGTGCCCAAGGTTGAGAAACGGTGCTCTAAGTGTCTGCCCTCACACTTCATTAGCCTGGTATTAGCCTTGATTATCATTTTTGTGACTTAGTCCATGGTGCAAATCCAGCTTGTGGGCTTAGTGTATCACTGAATATTTATACAATTTTTTTGCTGCAACCTGAGCAAGCAGATATGTACAGCAAACCTGGGCTACTTTGATTCGAAGAAATCACCCCAGTAACTTGGCTCTCAAGGTCAAAGTAGGGATACCGTACCAAGAGCCACTAATTTTTCTCCCATTTCTCTCCTCAGGCCAATATTGTGCAAATACAGCATTGGCAAACTCAGAAAATGGATTATTCAATGATCACATTGAAGCAGGATATAACAACTGCAGTGATTCGCTTAACAACTTTAGAATAGAATAGAATAATAGAATAGAATAGAATAGAACAGAACAGAATAATAGAATAGAATAATAGAATAGAATAGAATGGAATAATATAATAGAATAATAGAATAGAATAGAATGGAATAATAGAATAGAATAGAAGAATAGAATAGAACAGAATAATGGAATGAAGAATAGAATAGAATAGAATAGAATAGAATAGAATAGAATAGAATAGAATAATAGAATAGAATAATGGAATGAAGAATAGAATAGAATAGAATAGAATAGAATGGAATAATAGAATAGAATTGAATAATAGAATAGAATAATAGAATAGAATAGAATAATAGAATAGAATAGAATAATAGAATAGAATAGAATAGAATGGAATAGAATGGAATAGAATAGAATAGTAGAATGGAATAATAGAATAGAATAGAATAATAGAATAGAATAGAATAGAATAGAATAGAATAGAACAGAGTAGAACAGAATAGCTTTATTGTCACTTTGAATGTACACTAATTGGTATACATTAAAATGAAATTTCATTGCATTCAGCTCTCAAAGGGTCACCCTATACACTACATAAATATGACAAAAATAAATAAATACAGAATTATGCATATATCCACATATATTCTATGACACAAAGAAACAAAACAGTCTAGTTCGGGTTATGTATACATACACATGGTGAGAAAAATGAATCTTGCGAGTTTCCCAGACGGAGGGCACAGGGAACAAAGCTATTACAGAATCGGGTAGTCCAGCTAGAAATACTTCAAAACCTCCTCGCAGAGGGGAGCAACAGGAACAGACCGTGAAGTGAGGTCTTTTAACAATACTCTGAGCTCTAAGCACATATAAGCGCTTATAAGCAGCGTCCTGAATACCAGGGAGTGAGCTTCCTATGAACTTTGGCAAGAAAGGAAGCCAAATGTGGCAAAACTGAACAAACGACTGCCTCACTTAGCAAGAGAAAAGTGCCAACTATAACTGAAGCCCAACTTTCAGCAGTTGTAGCATTCAGTAGCACTTGGAGCAGGGGTTCTCAACCTTGGCAACTTTAAGACTTGTGGACTTCAACTCCCAGAATTCCTCAGCCAGCTTTGAAGTCCACAAGTCTTAAAGTTGCCAAGGTTGAGAACCCCCGAGTCTTGGAGGAACTTGGGTTATTCCCTCTGAAATAAATCCAAAGCTTGCTATCATGTTTTACAGAAGGAGCAGTTGCCTAGGCTCACCCCTATCCTACATGGCTGGCTGGGAAATTCTGGGAGTTGAAGTCCAGAAGAATGGCCAAAGGTGGAAACTCGGCCCTAGCAAGATCATGTTGGCCAGGAGGGGAAGTAGGGGAAGGGAAATTCAGTTCAAAATTGGCCTGTTTATTCTCCTGTTAAGTCTTCTCCTACACTGGGTCTTCAAACCCTGATACTGATGGGTCTCTCTTTGAGTAACTGGTTTTAGCAGCAAGGAGCATTTTTTGATAAACGTTCCTAGTTCTTTGAAGTAACCAGCAAGAATGCGGATTCCGATAAAGGACCAGCCAGAGAGTAGAATTGCCCGAAGAGATAGCAAAGCAACAGCATTTAGACTTATATACCACTTCATAGTGCTTTATAGCCCTCTCTAAATGGTTTAGAGCAGTGGTTCTCAATCTTTTTAATGCCGCGACCCCCCCCCCAACCGGTCGTAAGTCGAGGACTACTCAACTGGTCGTAAGTCGAGGACTACTCAACTGGTGCAGCACCGTTTGCAGAATGGGACTTTTGGCGGGCTCAGCAGGGCAGAGACAGCCTGGACAATTCCTATTGGCTTTTGAAAGCCAATAGAATTAGACTCTATTCAAGAGAGTCTCTTCTATTGGCTTTCAAAAGTCAATAGAATAAAAGGGAGGAGCACAGCTAAGGAAAAGGGGGAAAAAATGGCGGACTGCGTTGTTTGGCGACCCCCATGAAATGGTCGTTCGACCCCAAATGGGGTCCCAACCCACAGGTTGAGAACCACTGTTTAGAGTCAGCATGTTGCCCCCAACAATCTGGGTCCTCATTTTACCGACCTCAGAAGGATGGAAGACTGAGTCAACCTTGAGCCATGAGGATCGAACTCCTGGCAGTGGGCAGAGTCAGCCTGCAATACTGCATCCTAACCACTGAGCCACCACAACTGAAATCTCACTCTAATGTAGGAAACACACCTCGATCATCAACATGATTGTGCTAAGAATATCATGGGATGCTTTTAATTGTTGCATGGTACACATAGAACTACTACTCTGGATGCCTGATGACACTAATGATGCTGGCCAATTGATAAAGACGTTCCAAAGCCAAAAAGTCTGAACTGCACATAAAGTGATTTCTTATCTTTGTAAGGGCCTCTCACCTTGCATCCATGGGAGACCTCTCTTTTACTTATGCATAAATAAAGCGATATGAATTTATCTTTCCAGCTCGGATCCTACTTTACCAAGAGCCCCCTGCGCCAAGAACCTTGCTATTGTTTATGGCTAATAATATATTCAAAATATGGTTCTCACCCCTTCATTTCTTTAGTCGGTTATGCATCAGAAGTTCTCACCCTGGACTTCTTTTCTTTTCACTGTCCCTTCTTCAGAGTTACTTCATCCAAAACCTAAAAGAAAGTTAAAAAAAAAAAAACATTCAGGAAGACCACGTTCCTGTATTTTACAGAGAGTCCTCAACTTATGACCACAACTGAGCTCAACATTTCCATTACTAAGCAAGACAGTTGTTAAGTGAGCTTTCCCCTATTTTATGACCTTCCTTGACAGTTTGTCATGGCTGTCATTCTGCTAGCTTTGCCTCCTCATCTGCCAGCAAGACACTGGCAACAGGGGGAGGGAGGGGATTGGAATGTGGGATGGAGAAGGGGGGGAGGTTGGGAACCAAACTGTGCCAGCCGGAAAGTGAAACCCACCAGTCCAACCGAAAGAATGTGGCCATGCAGAAGGCGTGAACTGAGGGCCAAGTTACCTAAACAGCATGAAGACCGCTACCGTACTTTCCGGCGTATAAGACGACTTTCTAAAGCGTTGAAATTGGCGCCAAAGTCGGGGGTCGTCTTATACGCCGGAAATAACAGTAGTTTCCGGCGTATAAGGCGACTTTCTAGGCATGCGACTCGGCGCCGAAGTCAGGGGTCGTCTTATACGCCGGGTCGCCTTATACGCCGGAAAATACGGTAATTGGACCCTGACTGATAACAGGTGGATGGCCAGGGTGAAGGGGAAAGTTAATTGCAGGTTTTACAGATTCCACTTTGTTCCTTCTGCAGCCACTTCTGCTCTCAGTAAAGGCAAACAATGGGCTAGGAGTCTTTCCTTGCTAACAAGTGGGAGGGTTGATACAGCTGTTCAGTGAGTAACTGAGGTTGTTAAGTTAGTTACACGGTTGTTAAGTGAATCTGGCTTCCCCGCTGACTTTGCCTGTCAGATGATTTCACAAAAGGGGATCACGTAACCTCACGCACTGCAACCGTCATAAATGTGAACCAGTTGCCAGGCATCCGAATTTTATAATAATAATAATAATAATAATAATAATAATAATAATAGGAGTAGTAGTAGTAATAGTAGTAGTAGTAATAATAATAATAATAAGTAAAGTTGGAAGGGACCTTGGAGGTCATCTAGTCCAACCCCCTGCTCAGGCAGGAAACCCTACACCATTTCGGACAAATGGCTGTCCAGTCTCTTCTTAAAAACTTCCAGTGTTGGAGCATTACTGCTTCTGGAGGCAGGTTGTTCCACTGATTAATTGTTCTCACTGTCAGGAAGTTTCTCCTTAGTTCTAGGTTGCTTCTCTCCTTGATTAGTTTCCACCCGTTGCTTCTTGTCCTGCCTTCAGGTGCTTTGGAAAATAGCTTGATTCCCTCTTCTTTATGGCAGCCCCTGAGATATTGGAATACTGCTATCATGTCCCCCCTTGTCCTTCTCTTCGTTAAACTAGACATACCCAATTCTAGCAACCGTTCCTTATAAGTTTTAGCCTCCAGTCCCCTAATCATCTTTGTTGCTCTTCTCTGTACTCTTTCTAGAGTCTCAACATCTTTTTTACATCGTGGTGACCAAAACTGGATGCAGTATTCCAAGTGTGGCCTTACCAAGGCATTGTAGAGTGGCATTAATATTTCACGTGATCTTGATTCTATCCCTCTGTTAATGCAGCCTAGCACTGTGTTGGCCGTTCTCTTGCTTTCTAGGTCAGCACCTTCACCCCGACTCCTAACTGGTTTCCCGATTCTGCAACTCTAGATAATTGCCATGTCTACAAGTGGCCCTTAATGAGCTCTTGAATGGCATTGTGCAATCTCCATACCTGAGACCTTGCCTGGGCAGGCAGAAGGGAAAAAAAATCAACTTCCACTGAAGAAGCAAGAGCAGTCAAAACCTGATGGGCACATTTATTAATTTGCTGCCCCCCCCCACTAAATCACCAGAGGGGGCCATTCCCATATTAAATCTCTGCTGGGCCAGGAATCAATCTCTTTCTCTTCCTCCCTCCCCCCCTTTCCTCCCTTCGTCTTCCCCATCTTTATTATTTTTATAAATAACTCAAGGCAACAAACATACATAAATACTCCTCCCTCTTCCTATTTTCCCCACAACAACCCTGTGAGATGAGTTGGGATGAGAGTGAGGGACTGGTCCAAGGTCACCCAGCCAGTTTTCATGCCCAGAACTCCCAAGTTTCCTGGTGACTGGCCCAAAGTTACCCAGCTGGCTCTGGTGCTTAAGGCAGGATTAGAATTCACCATCTCATGATTTCTAACCTGGCGACCACAACCAAAGTGGCTCTGTACAATATTCTTCTGTAAACCCATAAACAAAGCATGGTGGTTGTGGAGAAAATGGATGGAATGTAGAGGTATGTTTGCTTGAGGTATATATTTACTTATTAAATTTATGGCTCTGAAAGTTGGACCATCAGAAAGGCTGAGCGCCAAAGAATGGAGGCCTTTGAACTCTGGTGCTGGAGAAGACTCCTGCGAGTCCCTTGGACTGCAAGGCGTTCAAACCGGTCAGTCCTAGAAGAGATCAACCCCGACTGCTCTTTAGAAGGCCAGATCCTGAAGTGGAAACTCAAATACTTTGGCCACCTAATGAGAAGGAAGGACTCCCTGGAGAAGGGCCTAATGCTGGGAAAGCTTGAGGGCAATAGAAGAAGGGGACGACAGAGAATGAGGTGGCTGGATGGAGTCACTGAAGCAGCAGGTGTGAACTTAAATGGACTCTAGAAGATGGTAGAGGACAGGAAGACCTGGAGAAACGTGGTCCATGGGGTCGCGATGGGTCGGACACGACTTCGCAATTAACAACATTAAATTTATATGCCACCCATCTCACATTGAAAGTGACTATATAAAAAAAGTGGGACATAAATAATAATAATTGACAAAATCCCCAGCAGGAAATTGCAAAAGAACTTGGAAGTGTTTCCATCTTTTAGCGCCACCAAGGAACAACATCCGCCTATGCCAGGTCCTTAGAAAGGACTCGAGTGGTAGATAAAAATGCCAAATGCCAATTTGAACATCTGGCTGACTGTGTTAGCAACCATAATAATAATCTGGGTACATCAGAACAGAAGAGAAAAATCTCGAAAAGATAACAAAATACAAAGTCCTGCAAGCAAAGGTAGTCCCAATAGCCCAATTGTAATAGGTGCCCTGGGTACCATCCCAAAACATCTGGAACATCATTTGAATCCACTGGCATTGACAAAATTCTCATCAATGAATTGCAAAAGGAAGTTTGACTCGGCAGGGCTTACATCTTGCAAACAAATCTTTAATATAATTCTTTATTGGCCAAGTGTGATTGGACACATAAGGAATTTGTCTCTGGTGCATAACCTCTCAGTGTATATGCAAGCAACAAGTGATAAATCATGACCATAATCATAAAATACAATCATAAATCATAAGATTAGGCAAAACCTGGCTCAGAAACAATAACTGTGAGAGGGACCTTGGAGTCCTAGTGTACGATCACTTAAACATGAGCCAGCCATGTGCAACAGCAGACCAAAAAAGCTAATACAATCCTAAAGAGAGGCATAGAATCAAAATCACGTGAAATATTAGTACCGCTTTGTATATTTAGTAAGGCCACACCTGGAATACTGCATCCAGTTTTGATCACCATACTATTAAAAAGATGTTGAGACTTTGGAAAAAGTGCAAAGAAGAGCAACTAAGATGATTAAAGGTCTGGAGACTAAAACATATGAAGAATGGTTACAGGATTTGGGTAAGGCCAGTCTAGAGAAAAGAAGGACTAGGGGTGACATGACAGCAGAATTCCAATATTTGAGGGGCTGCCACAAAGAAGAGGGGGGTCATCCTATTCCCCAAAGCACCTGAAGGCCAGACAAGAAACAATGGATGGAAACTAATCAAAGAGACAAGCAACCTGAAATTAAGGAGAAACTTCCTAACAGCAAGGACAATTAACCAGTGGAACAGCTTCCCTCCAGACCTTGTGGGTACTTCATCACTCAAGGTTTTTAAGAAGAGAGATGGAAATGTAGCCACTTTTTCTCTTTCACTTTTAGGGTTAGTTCAGTGGTTCTCAACCTGTGGGTCGGGACCCCATTTGGGGTCGAACGACCATTTCACGGGGGTCGCCAAACAACGCAGTCCGCCATTTTTCCCCCTTTTCCTTAGCTGTGCTCCTCCCTTTTATTCTATTGGCTTTTGAAAGCCAATAGAAGAGACTCTCTTGAATAGAGTCTAATTCTATTGGCTTTCCAAAGCCAATAGGAATTGTCCAGGCTGTCTCTGGCCTGCTGAGCCCGCCAAAAGTCCCATTCTGCAAATGGTGCTGCACCAGTTGAGTAGTCCTCGACTTACGACTGATTGGGGGTTGCGGCATTAAAAAGGTTGAGAACCACTGAGTTAGTTGATGTTGGGAGGGGAGATGTGGATGAGAGTTCAGTTAGTTATAACAATAACAACTCAGCCATGAGGTCCAGAGTTGATAAGGATTTGGTGGGCTGGAGAGCTGGGGAAAAAGCCATCCTTCAAGCTAATTGGGGAATGTGATTTATGACTGTTAATTGGAGGAGGGAATTGTGCTTTGCTACTTTGTGCTCAGGGGAGGGGAATTCAGTTTTTGGCTTTAACTATATAGTACTGATACTTTGTTTCTCGAATAAAAGATTCTTTAAGGTAAACAATGCCTTGAAGTTCTTTCGAAGAGTTTCATCTGTTGGAACCATGACATAGGGCCGTGGTGGCGAACCTACAGCAGGCGTGCCACAGGTGGCACACAGAGCCCTCTCTGTGGGCACGCACACCATTGCTCCAGTCCTAGGCCTTCAGCTGGGTTTTATAAAACCTTTTCACTTTAGACCTCCACCACCATGTGCAAAAAAAAAAAAAAAAAAAGGTTCAATCAACTTCAACTCCCAGGGGGAAAAAAAGATCTTGCAAAGTTGAAATTGATTGGTTGAACTTTTTAGTCCCACCCAGTCTGGCGTTACCACTGCAGCCACGCCCACTCAATGGGCCACGCTTATCCAATTGGCCACACCCAGCCAATGAGCCACGCCCACCCGGCACCCAACGATACATGTGGGTTTTGGGTTGCAGTTTGGACACTCGGGTCTCTAAAAGGTTCGCCATCACTGACATACGGTCTCCTGCTTGAGCAGAGAATTGGACTAGAAGACTTCCAAGGTCCCTTCCAGTTCTATTTTGATTGATTGATAAGATAAAAACTCAGTGATAATCATAGGATATTAATTAAGCAAACAACATCAATCATAATAGGATACTAAATAAAGGCAATCAACAAAAGTCAGTGATTGTAGATTAAAAATGCCAAGCCCAGTCTAAATATCTGACTGATGGTGCAAGTAACCATAATTCTGGTAATACACAGTAATACTATCAGCATTGACAAAATCCTCCTTGGTCAATTGCAAAAGGCAGTTGTGCTTGGAACAGTTTACATCCTGCGGATGAGACCTTTAATATTATTAAATAATAACATCTGTCTATCTCAGGTCTTTGGGAAGAACTCCAGAGCTGGAAAAAATGCCCAAACCAGTCTAAACATCTGGCTGACCGTGCGATGATCCATAATAAGCTTACATCCTGGGATGAGACCACTAATACCATCAAAAATCTGCTTCTCCCAGGTCCTTGGGAAAGACTAAGTGGATTAAAAATGCCAAATCCAGTCTAAACATCTGGCTGACCAATCACAATATTATAATACTATTGGTACTGACAAATTCACCATCAGTTCATTGCAAAAGACAGCTGTACTTGGAGCAACTTATGTTCTGCTTACGGTACTTTTAATATTACTATAACATCTGCCTCTCCCAGGTGCTGAGGAAGCACTCCAGAGGTGGATAAAAATGCCAAATCCAGTCTAAACATCTGACTGACAGTGCAACCCACCAAAATATTATAACACTATCGGTATTGGCAAATTCACCAACTGTTAATTGCAAAAGGCAGCTGTATTCGGAACATCTTACATTCTGTAACCAAATATTTATATTTATTTATTATAACATCTGCCTCTCCCAGGTCCTGGGGAAGCACTCCAGAGGTGGACAAAAAATGCCAAATCCAGCCTGAACATCTGGCTATGTGACCATCCACGATAACAATAGTAAGTTCACATCCTGGCATGAGACTTTTAACCCCATCAAAAATCCACATCTATCCCCAGATTCCTTGGGAAGGACTCCAGAAGTAGATAAAAATGTCAATGTAAACTTCTGGCCAACCATAATAATAATAATAACAACAACAACAACAACAACAAGAAGCAGCGGCATGACAAAGTAGCAACAATGGTGCATTGGAAGATCTGCCAAAAATATCATTTGCCTGTAAGCAAAAACTGGTGGGATCATAAAATAGAGAAAGTCATAGAAAATGATAAAACTAAAATGCTCTGGGACTTCAGAATTCAGACAGACAAGCACCTGCAACATAACACCCCAGACTTAACAATTGTCGATAAGAAAGACAAAAAAGTCTGGATAGTGGACGTGGCAGTGGCTGGAGACAGCAGAATAGACGAGAAAGAACTGGAGAAGATAACAAAATACAAAGACCTACAAATAGAAATAGAAAGACTGTGGCAAAAGCAAGCAAGGGTAGTACCAATAGTCATAGGTGCCTTGGGTGCAACCCCAAAACAACTGGAGCACCACTTGAACACCATCATCGGCATTGACAAATTCGCCATTAGTCAATTGCAAAAGGCGGCCTTACTAGGAACTGCTTCCATCCTGCGACGATATCTGTAATACCATCAAACATCCACATCTGCCTATCCCAGGTCCTGGGTAAGGACTCGATAGGTAGACAAAATGCCAAATCCAGTCTGAACATCTGGCTGACTGTGCGATGATCCACAATAATAATAACAACAACAACAACCGGAGCACCACTTGAACACAATTGGCATTGACAAATTCGCTATTAGTCAATTGCAAAAGGCGGCCTTATTAGGAACTGCTTCCATCCTGCGACGATACCTGTAATACCATCAAACTTCCACATCTGCCTATCCCAGGTCTTGGGTAAGGACTCGATAGGTAGACAAAATGCCAAATCCAGTCTGAACATCTGGCTGACTGTGAGATGATCCATAATAAAAAAAAAACCAGAATCGCCCTCAATCCATTATCAAAGGCAACTCAACTTGTGACCGGTTGCAACCTGATGATGATGAGACCCTGGACCCCCCCCCACCAAGCACCCACACCTGCCCCTCCCCAGCTGCTCCAGAGGTGGATAAAAAAAGGCCCAACCCAGCCTCAACATCTGGCTGGCTGGCCCACCAACCACCCTCACAACTCGAGGCCCTGAGGACTGGGGGCCAGAACGTTGCTGCGGGGTCCAGGAGCAACCAGGGTCTCCCTCGCTGGAGGTTTCGGGCTGGGCTATGTGGCCCTTGGCCGGAGAGCCCGACTAGATGACCTCCAGGGTACCCTGGGGCTCGGTGTTCTATGGAGAACTGGGTAGGGGGCGGCTTCCCCATCGCCCCGCCGGGGCCCATGGGGACCCCCCACACACCCCCCCCCCATGTCTCCTTGGGAGGCGCGGCCTTCGCTTCCTCCTGCTTGGGAAACGCCCCCAAGAGCCAGGCGGGGAAAGGCCGCGGGGCCTCCGGACAAAGAGGCGGGCTGCTGAGGGAGGCGGAAGCCCACCGGGGGCGCCCATGGGCCTCTCCCCGCCCCGCCCCGCCTTAACCGGGAGGCGCCGTCCTCACCTGGGCTGCCCTCCGTCCCTCGGAGCCCCTCGGCGCTCCATGAAGATCGGCGCATGCGCACCGCGACGCTCGCCCGCCTTCCTCACTCCCACAACTTCCGCCTTCTTCCCTCACCGCCAGCGGGGCCCGATGGGGGAGCGGAAGCCACACACCCACAAGCCCCGCCTCCAGCCTCCTCTCCCCGCCGGTCGCCGGAAGCTGGGCGCCCGGATGGCCTATTCTTCTGGTAGCGGCCATTTTGAGGAGAGAGAGAGAGGGGGGGGGAGGGACAACCTCGGCCCTCCATCTTGAGATTGAAAGGGCGACCGGCGAGAGGGCGCTTGGAGTCCGAGCGCCCGGAGTCCGAGCGCCCGGGCTCGTCTCTGGCGTCGGGTCCTACGAGTGATGTTTTTAAAGATACGGCATGTCGTACAACGGCAGAAACAGCGCTTTAGAAACAAAGCCGGAAGAGCACTTACGCAATTTCCGGTTGCCGCCCTCCTGGCGAGCCGCCAATATAGAAGCACGGCGTGGGCGCCATCTTGAAAAGGGGCGCTGGTTTCTGCCTTTGTCAACTTCCGGTCTATGCGCTTCCTCCAGTGGGCAGTTTTGGGGTCGTCTTTCTTTGGGGGGCGCCCAAGTAAAAATTCCAACGTCGAAAATAGCTTCCCTTCGTACGCTGCTAGTCTGTACGTTGCTCATTGTGGAGAATATTCTGCAAGTGTCACTGGAAATTAGAAGTATTCCTTCTGCTTGTGGGTGGATGCAACTCCAGACTACAACCCCCATAATTCCTTCATTCCACCCAGCACGCCTACTATCTCAGTAGGAATTAGAATAACGGGTTCTCCACCTTGGCAACTTTAAGACTTGTGGACTTCAACTCCCAGAATTCCTCAGCCAGCAAAGCTGGCTGAGGAATTCTGGGAGTTGAAGTCCACAAGTCTTAAAGTTGCCAAGGTTGAGAACCCCTGGATAGAATAACAGAGTTGGAAGGGACCTTGTAGGTCATCTAGTCCAATCCCTTGCTCAAGCAGGAGA